CTTTATTTAGAGAAAATCATCACTGTCATCTTATTATTAGTTACCTTATGAAAGTATTGCATAGTCATACACATTACATTATTAGCAGGTTTCTTTTCTATCACTGCTAAACATTGGTTTCATTAAAAATGAAAGCTTATTGTTTCTGCTGTTTTTTTCCAAAAGCAATAGTTCAGATATTTATGTCAACATCAAAACAAAGAATAATTTGAATGTGGATATAAAAACATTAAATTAAGAGTTGAGATAGATTGAGGTGAAATATGGAAACAACAAATGTATAAGTCAAAACTATAAAAAAGTGGATGTTCCCACCTATGTGTCTATAGTGTAAGAAGAAGAAGACAGATCAATCAGGAATACTGTGGAGCAGCACACCTTATAGTGGTCTTTATTCAATGCAATTGTTTTTACTGTTCAATCTTTGACTTTTGAAATCCTGACAATGACCCATTGTTGGAAAAAATATCATTTTTGTCTCATTCATCTTTCTGATGAATATGTAGAAAAATACACAAGGGGTTTAAAAACGACAGCTCAGCTAGTGGAACCCAGCTAACACTAAGCTCTGATGAGCATAAACAAACAAGAAACTTACTGTAATTTAATTTACGTTTCCTTTCAAATAAAGCTCCTCCACATTTCTCAAATTAATTTGAAGTATCAAAGAAAATCAATAAAAAGGAAAAATCATGACAATAATCACACACTGATTATTCTCATGGTTATTCTGAGTGTTTTGTTCATAGCTGTAAATATCAATTGGAAAGTGTGCTGACGTTGATATTCTGATTGAAAAGTAAGAGGTTTTCATCTGAGACCAGTACCGCTGACACACGTACACACCTTGCTGAAAATCCCCCTTCTATAAATTCTGATGGTTTGTGTCTTGGATGTTTGCTAAATATATTAGAATTACAAACTAAAAACAGTGTCTTTGTCTATTTTATTCATCCAAATATAAAAAAGAATGTTGGATATATATTGTACAGTACCGTGTACAATATGGTACTAGGTCAGGGTTTCTTTATGTCTTTTTCTGCTTTTAACATTTAACACATGATGCAGTCATCTTAAATTTTGAGGTTGAGAAGCCTCTGACTTTCCAAGCCAAATATGTGATAAGAGAAAATCTTTAGCTAATTTATTTAACTTGGAGAAGAAATGATGTGAAGAAATGTCCCTTCCAAAGTCCCTTACAAAGTCTGCAAGCTTCTCCTGTGCTGATTGAGTTCAGAAATAAAACACTCAATTCTTTTCATTGGAAATCCTGACCCGCTCTGTGGACACTTCAATCTCATTTCTCTGAACTCAGAAGCTTCCAAAGAAAGAAACTGAGCTAGTGTGATCTCAATTTCATAGTATTTTTGATAACATTTGCTTCCAGAAACTGGAACAAGTTCACTTGTTGCTTCTGACACGCCTACCTGTGTAGCAACAGTTGGCAACGTGGGCGATTGCTACACTCTGCATGTCTCAGCATGTTATCATTCAAAGGAAATTCTTTAAACAGCTGACAGAACAAGGATCTGAGTTTGAAAGAATACTCTTTGGTCTGGACCAGGAGCTGCAGACCCCAGGTCCAGACCAAATTCAGCAACCCTGCAATCATCAACCTGCCATTTAAAGAGAAAATCTGGTGTTCCAAGAACTACAAGGATTAAAACTTTTTTTAAAAGTGCTTATACTGCTGTAAATGAAATTTCTTTTTCACGTTACACTATGTCACAAAGCTCCATTAATACAATCCTAAATCTTAGTTTTAAAGTAATATTTTTAAAGAGAAAACAAGGAGAGAAGGAGAGAACCTGCTGACGAGAATGTTGGGATACTTACATATAGTTTGAAAGAGTTTGTCTAAGTCTTGGGTTGTCTGTGGATTGGAGTTTTGCTTTGGAACAGTAGAACGTTCAGCATTGTACTTCATGGTCACAGAGGGATATGTCACTTGTGGCGATTGAGGCACAAATGGCCCAACTGTAGATTTCTCTTTCCCAAAAACGTCCGGGTGTCCAGGTGTAATGGCGATGGTAGTGGTCAGGGAGACAGTAGAGGGAGCAGAATGAGGAATGGAGACTGTGATTCCAAGCGTGGGGTTAACTGATATAATGATGGGATCCTGGCCAATGGGTTTAGGATCTAAGTGGGTGAGCGGTTCATATTCAAAGATCTTATCCACAAAGACCCATTTGAGTCCAGCTGTGCAAAGAGCTAAACTAAGAAGGCAGGCCAGGATGGGCAGAATGCAGATTTTTTCAGAGTGGAGGCAACGGTTAATCTGTTCCATTTCTATGCACACACAGCAGGTCGCAGGCAAAGGCACAATTCCCAAAGCACCCTCATGCTCCCCATCACCTCGGCCTTCCTCTGTAATTCCCTTTACACCCTCATCCCCACTCTCACCAGCTGCCTCCGTCTCCTCTTGTTTCTCCTCTGGGACTGGCCCAGTATCAGGAGGCGGGCCAGTGGGGGAGGCCGTTTCAGGAGATGGAGCTGGTCCTGCAGAGTGGCCCTCCATTCCCTCAGTCATCCTTTTAAACTGCTGAAGGAAGAGTCTATGAATGCTTCAACCATTAAAACAGGACATCACACAAGTGTGGTGTGCCACGAGAGTCTATGAGAAGGCTTCCCAACATGAGGCTGAAGAGTCAGAGGACGAAAAAGCAAAATGCCCTTCAGAGACTGAAAGCTTGACAGTGGTCCACGAGGTAGCAGGACGACCTGCATCCAAGGAAAGCCAGCTCTTTACACATGCTTTAATCAGTCAGGGAGTTGTACTGCAGTCAATTTATCTGCAGGCAAAAGACATACACATATACTAATGTTGAATCTGGTTGAGTCGTGAGCGACGGTAGAAAAGTAGTTGTGACTCACCTGAACACTTTGGCAGGGGAAGGAGTAGGGGCGGTGTCGATGTGATGGGCCGGCTGCAGTAACTGGATCGTCAAGGACAGGCTGGCCAGGCACTGCAGTGGCAGGACGGACATGCTGCCTTGTCTAAAGTGCTCCAAGCAGCTGAAAGGCTGAATCATCAGGGAGCGGCAGGTGTCCTTCCTCTCGGTGCAGCCAAAGAAATAGATGAGTAAGGAGAAAAGGGAAAGAAAGAGAATCCTGGAGAGGGAGGGGGGCTGCAGTAGCACAGTGGGTCAGAGGAGGATGGATACTCCCCTTCTCCTTCTCTCCTCTCACTCCTCCTCTTGCTGTCGTTTCTCTCCAACTGGAGTGCACAGCAGCCTCTGGCCTCCTCCCTCTCTGTCTCACTTCCTCTGTCTTTGCAGGCTGCTCCCAATCCAAGCACAAAGCATCCAGCTAAGCAAGTTCCTACATGATCCAATTAGAGTGCATGTCAGCGAATCACAGACAGCCGAACTGCTGTAGCCACCCCTCCCAGCACCACTCCCCAATGACTCTACTGCAAGGCTGGGGAACGAAAATCCAAGCAGACATAGGATACACATGGAGAAATGAATGGCATAAAAGTTTAGTTAATAAATGATTGCATCTGAAATATACTGAAGTTAAAAAATATTCAAGATCTTAACATATGTACACAATCTTTAGAGAACAACTTTCCAGGTCTTATTTTTAAAATGTTGTTTAATATTCAAACATCAGCAGAACTTTCTGTGACTGGAAGCAGTAATCACTGGTTGATCATTGCAGTTTTATCTCGGCAGTCTACTATCTGCTAATGGGTCAGAAACTAAAACAAACAAATAACTTCATGGGAACTAAATAATTGATGCTCATCAACATAGAACTTTAGAATGTTTTCCACAGTTACCATGGGAAATAGTTGGATAAATGTTTCAGGAAATGGTTCCTAATGTTACCCATGTGCTCACTGTTCTCAAAAAATAAGCTGCAAGAGTGACATAAAGCCACCCAATCCTCATTAAGCCAATTAATGCCCAAGCCACAACCTCCACTAGCACTGCAGACTTATAAATAGGATAAAAGAAAAATCCAAGGTGGAGTTTGGGAGGGGGAGATGATCTCAACAAGATGAGGAGCATCTAAAAGGTCAGTTTATCACCATACTGAGCACTGACACTCCTGTGACCCTATCCCATCCTCAGACAGAGTTAATACCAGTAATGGCATCTGTGGGGGAGCACTTCCTGTCAGGCCTCTGAATTAGTGACCTGAATATTGATTAACTTCTCAGGATACATAATCTGACACAGGAAGTGCAGAATAATAAATATCTGTGGGGTTTAGGTCTATTACTATTGATGTTTAGTCTGAGTATTAGTATTGTTTAGTCTCTTTAGACCATAAGACATAAGCTTGCAAATGTTTCATTGGATAAATGATCAACTACATAAGAATTAAAAATGATACTTTTAATAGGTCATTCTGAATGTTTTTAATGTTATTTTCACGATCTTGGCTTCTATATTTGCATTTACAAATGAAAACTCATAACGCATTCCCACAATAAAACAAAGAAAAAATTTGGTTGTAGCATATTAGATAAAAGGAGTGTCAGATTTCCATCAAACATTTACTCCTTGTCCTTGTTACTGGTCAAAACTGGAGTAACACTTTTGTAAAGTGATTTCTGCATTAAAGTTTTTCCAAGAACTTGTCAAAATTAAGACACTTAGAGAAAAAAAGCCCATTAAATTATCTGAAATGTTAACAGATTACAGAGGGGCTCATTTATTAACTGCCACAAAAAGTTCTGAAAGCTTCAGGTAATGTTTTCCTTTCTGCTGAACATAATTTTAGTTTACAAAGGCCCCATCAATTTCACTGATGTTTAGCAGTCTCTGCCTGCTGGTCAATCAGCCTGCCTTAAATTCAAATGAATATAAAGGACACCTTTTTCAGTGGCTGCTTCACATCTATACAACAGTTTATCCCTCCAGTCAAAACAGAAGATAAAACCAACCTTAAAGCACCTGAACATTGCATTCTATATTATTTAGTCCCACTTGGATCTTGGGAAGCAAGGCAATAGAATCTAAAGACCAATAAATTCAAACTACAAATAATAAAATCAACAAGAAGTTTAATAAAAATTAACAAACATTTAGATCCTACATCTTCATACAAGTATTCCCTTTGTCCATCATTACTAGGCCAATACAATCAGCTGGGTACAGACGTCATCTTAACATATCAAATACCAGTCCGTCATTTAGTACAGCATTAAATGCTGCTGAAGTTCTTACAAAAATGTCAATACACTGTGACTTTTGTAAGAACAAAGTTTTTAGAATCATAAAGTTAATAAAGTATATTTAACTAGAATTAAACATCCTGGACTTAAACCCACAGAAGTGGAAAATTCACTCTGCTCTTCGTCCAGACTACTCCAAATGTTATTGTCTGATTAAAACCGATGTCTGAGAGAACTGTCTAACTGCTGAGTGCTGCTGTGTTTTCACTGCTGAGCAGCCATTTTAAGAGCTCTGCCATAGAAATCAGCTGCAACCCAAAAAGTGTTACCAGACTGTAAAACTGAAGGATGCAGAAAAACTGCTCTACAGGGACAGCAAACCACAATATTTCATGAAGCTGAGGGCAGGAAACGTTTGGTTTCACTTTGGTCAGTATTAACAACAATCATACATTTCTTGATAAAATAATTTTTCATAAATAGAATTTTTACATTTACATTTGGAAAAAATCCAACAATGAGTCAAGAAATACAAAATATAAAAACTTCTGAAATGAGGAATATCAGAAAGAAAAGATCAGCAAATAAATTACAATTTCCAGAATTAGATGATTTCAGTCAAGCAAGTGAACTATTCATATATTATCAAATTAATGTCTGATACTAAAAATAATCAACAAATCCTGTTCTCGGTTTTTGACAGACTAACCAAAGCAGCCGTTCCAAGTATCCATCAGTAACTCCACAATTACGAAGTGTGGAGATTTCACAGCCTACTTCAGACAAAACATAAAAATGTAAGATATAATTTATCTCAAAATATCAGCTTTGAGTTATTGTTAAATGGTGAGGAAACACTGGAGAATTGCTGAACTGGTAAGAATTATTTCTCACTTAAAACAGAAAAATATCTTTAACCATATCTTTTTAAAAATTATGCTCTTGATATCAACTATTCTTTTAATATGGAGCGAGACAGTGGGCTTCACAACTGTCTTTAAACCTGCTGATATGAAGCCTTGTGGGAAGAGAACAAACCTCAATTTTCATCATCTGAGGAACATTGCAAGACTGTAACCATTTCTCTAATAGTCCAATACAGAAACTTTGATTCACACTTTTACAACTAGTACAATCAATTATAGTCATACTCTGATTCCTGATCTTGCTGGAAAAATCATTGCTCTATCACAGGTAATTCAGAACTCTGCTAGTCGAGGATCAGAAGCTGAGCTCACAAAACAGCAACTTTAAAGTCTGCATTTAAAGTTGGTGTGCATTTTAGAATTGTTTTAAGGTGTTCTTAGTGGTTTTTAAAACTCAGTAATGGCCGTAACGTTGTAGTCAACTCCATTTATGAGAACTGCTTCTGTCTTCTGGAAATGGCCATCTGCTGGTAACTACAGTGAGAACTAAATCACAAGAGGAGGAATCATTATGACTCTCAGTTTGGTGGTTTTGGTTTTTACCCATTTGTCATCTCTTAAAGTTTATTATTTTTATAATTGCTAGTACATTACCAGTATCTATATGTTCTTTTTCGTTTCTATACAAGTTAACATTTTTGCAGTTATTGTAATGTTTTTGTCTATATTGGTATTTTTTTCAAATCAAAGTTTACCATTTAGTTTATGATTATTTTTTCCATGCTAATCTACACAACTGCTTCCCCACAGGTCCATAATCCCTTGAGTCTTTACCTTTATTATAACTGTCTGATTAGTTTGATATTTTATAATGTATGAGTCTCTTGTGCCTACACATCCATGTTTTTAATCTCTACATATCTACATGGCACTTTGCTGTATGAAGATCGCTTTACAAAATGTTTGGTGATGGTCAGAATCAGCTGACGCATAACAAATCTCATTGCAATGTCACCATAAGCAAAGTCAAATAAACAAAGGTTGGCCTGCATTAAATTAAGGCAGGTAATTTCAGTATTAAACATGTCAACATTTTTCTCAGCTTAAATGTTTCTAATGGGGACACAGAGATAAAATTAACACCAGATCACTATTAGCAACAACGCACACCCAAGCAATCCACTAACACAATCAAAGCAAGTAAATCCACTAGTGAATTTATGACTAAACAAATAGAATGAAACATGGAATAGAACCTATTGTCACAGACAAAATGTCTCCAAATCTTAAAGGTTTTCAGGGTTCCTTTAATTGCACATTCAGCTCTTTCCATACATTTTCATTTAAAACAGGTAACTGAGCCATCCCAACAGTTTTACTTTATTTCAAGAGTCACGTTTCCCTGGTTGTGTGTTTGGAATTTGCTTCAAATTAACATTTGTTTCATTATCAAAAATTTCCCAATAAATATATCTATCTTTCCTTGCAGTATATGAAGTCTCGAAGAACTAGGTGCTGTAACAGAACCCATACTGTGATGTTTCCACCTGCAAATGTCACCTTTTGCATGATGTTTCCAGAGTGATGTACAGAACCATTCTTTCTTTGAACTTGATGTGAGCCATTACATCACATTTACATCATGAGACCACACTGTCTTTCCTAAGAATTTTGCACACTTGTCCAAATCTTCTGCACCAGACGTTCTTCCATGGTGACATCTTGTGCAGTCACTGTGCACAAGATGAAGCCATTGCTATAAAGGCATTACTTATTGCTTAACTGGAGAAAATGCACCTGCTATTTCCACAACTTTTTGCAAGTGGTTCTTGGCTCTTGGACAAATCTTATTTATTTCTTTTGACTTTCAGAAATCTTACAAGGCCCCCTGGCTGGTTTATGGTGAAGTCAGATCATAGTTCCAACTGGCAGACCAGGAAGTTTAAGAAGTTTAAAAAGGCACTTGTGGGGTGCTAAGATGGCGCAGGGGTTAAGCACAACCTACATATGGAGGCCTTAGCCCTCGACATGGCTGTCGCAGCTTCAAATCCCAGCCTGGCGACTTTTGCTGCATGTCTTCCCTTTTCTCTAATTACCCAATTTACTGTCAAATAAAGCCAATAAAACCTTGGGGCGGGGAGGGATGCAGACACTGTGGTTACATCTGCATTTGCCATGAGTAAGCTTTTTGTTATGTGGTGGAGCAGTTGGCATCATTGCTGTCTTGCAGCAAGAAGGTCCTAGGTTTGACTCCCTGCCTGTGACTAGGTTCTCTCAGGGTACTCTGGCTTCCTCCCGCAGTCCAAAATCATGATGTTTAGTTTGACTGGCCTCTCTAAATCCTCATGAGGTATGAATGTGTGCATGATTGTTTCTCTGTCCTGTGCTGGACTGGTGACCTGTCCAAGGTGACCTTGCCTCTCGCCTGTTGACCGCTGGAAATGACAACTGTGAAAAAGTTGGAAAAAAAACTTTTTGAAGGCTACCAATTTGAGCTACTTTCTTGGCCTTCTACATCTCTTTGGAGAAGAGAGATATCTCTAGAAGAGATATGTAGAAGATGCTTTTTCTTCACATGTTCCCTGTTTCAATCCATTGGTTTACTCATAACTGACTTTGAAGACCAATTTGTTTGATTTCTTCATATGTATGGATTTCTTGGGTTGACACACATCCCATAGTCCTCTTAGAACAACGGGAGGTTCAAACCACTCTGCCAATGGTCATTTTAGAAATATTTAAACAGAGAAAATATTGACATGTTCAAAACTTTTTTTACTCAATTTAAGTTCAAACAATTAATGGTTATATATTTACTTGAATATGAAGTACATATTGAAATAAATATGTATGTAAATGCTTTCATATGTTTGGAGCTTGTTGTGCAGATATTTAAGCCACACCACTGTTATGTGGTAGCAGATAAACCTTCCTTTACATCTTCTTATCTTTAAATGTTTGCTTTGTTTTTTCCTACATAAAAAACTGAGCCAGCAGGTTGGCCACGCCCAGAACGATCAGGAAACTGTGGAAAACAGCTGACTGCCAGGTGAGTCTCCCCTGCTCTCTCAGGGAGAACATGTGGACTAAAGCAGGAAGTAGAAACACTAAGGCCAGTCCACATATTGCTCCAGAAAATCTGCAGAGAGAAATATATTTGTGGTCAGTGAATGAGAAAGCTGATATGGGCCGCAGGAGGAAAATTATATTGTAATAATTCAAGAAAACAGAACAAGATTGGTGACCCCTGCTGTAGACCCTTCTCTTTTTAAGATTCAGGCTCCCTTGCACATTTCCAAAATACTACCAGGTGGAGAAAAACCATTGTGCTACTTATTACGGTCATGTTTCTACAATAAAGATAATCATTCCCTAACAGTAGTTGAAGAATTAATAGCTTTAAACAAGTTTATTGAAGAAGCATCTCCAAGCTAACATTACTGGATATTTCTTTCATAACAGTTAACAGTTAACAACATAACCTTATACATACCGTATTATAGATCCAATGTTGGGATAAAACATGGCCATTAGAACTCCAGATCCAACAATGAGAATATTCAGCACCAGAATGTGAATGAAACTGAGTAGAGACAATGGGACAGACAGCATTCAGTTAGCAGAAACAATGTTCAAGAGTTTCCAAGAAATGACCAAGTTCTGATGCTTGGGTGATCCAGTAAGACCTGAAATGGGTAAACTGCTGAGTCATGACCCTGAGCAGGCAAGTTCAACACTGATCCGATCACTGATCGGATGCTCCATTGTACTGGTTCCGGTTTACCAGATCAGTAACTGTACCAAGCACTCAGTGAAATGCATTAATAATGGAATATTATCAAATAGATTGAATAGCTATTATAATTGAACATTTATGTTGACAAAGCTCAAAAGATGCAATCCGAAAACTAGAACATATTGACAAATCATGGTTAGTAAACTAAACAGTGGGTACAAACTATAATTTAAAGTTATTAACTAGATTTAAGTTAACCAGTCATATCTAATAAAATTTATTACATTGTTTTGAAAGTAAACAAAACTGATATTGACCCTAAGTTTTCATGACTATAAATGAAAAACAAATATAACTAAATCTCAAAATATGAACTATAAACAAAATTTGTATTCTCCTACCCGGGATAATGATTTCCAAACAGCTGACCCATAATTTGGACTCGTACCAAATAACCCAGCAGAGGATAGACAGTAATCATTTGGAACAGCAAGCACACTCGAGCCACAAACACCATCACGTCACTGCTGGGGAAGTTATCTAAAAAGTTCTGGAAAAAAAAGTAAAAAGGAAGAGCACAGTTGCAAATTTAAGCAGAGTGTAAATTACAATTATAAATTAGTGCAATACCAACCTGAATTTTTGCTCAAAAGCCTATTACATATTAATCACTAAGCTTCATTTATATAGCTGAGATAAATCATTCTCACCTCCATGTCCAAATGAAAACTAACGAAAAAAACTGCAATAAAGCTAACTGTAGGTAGAAAATAAATAATGCCATACCTTGGTAACCACTAGGAGGCGCCCGCTGACTACCCGTAGTTGAGGGACCACAATTTGAGGAAGACTGGCTAATATGATGTATTACCCTTTAAGGTTTAGACTTAAAATTAACAACATTCAACAAGAACCTTGTTTTGGGCAGGAAATGGCATCTCTCAAAGAAAAAATAAGTTCAAATCCATCAAGAGATTAAATTATTTCTACTTTTATTTATATGTTAAAGGTTGGTTTGTTTTTGTAGTGTCCAGGCATTCAATGTCTTATTCATTTCATATTGTTTCATTTTCATTGTACCTCATTTGAAATATCTTTTATATCTCGTTTATAAGAAATTAGTCAAAGGATGTATTGTTTTACATTTTAATATAACAGTTTATTTAAAAAAGTGTTCTAAGGAAGATAGTCCTTAAATAAGGACAGTAGTTTGATAAAAAAAAATTCCAAAGTTACAAACACTTGAAATTATGTCCTGACTTCAAACATTCAATCTGTAATACTGTAGATGAGCCAAAATGCTGGGCAGTCACACCTTGTAACATCTAGTCCACAGCTACATAATATTTTTGTTGTGTTTTGTTATATTTTCCTGAGGAGATCCAATGGGAGACAGATATGGACATTTTTTGAATACTTGATAGATACAATTCGTGTACAAGTACATATTGTTTAGGACCAAACAACAAGTCAATAAAAGGGAAAATGTTTTAGGCCATTTCAATTTTTCAGACTAAGATGACTATCAAGTATTAACATATATTTTAATCATTTTCACCCATCCCAGAACTCATCTACTTTTAAGACGAGGTTTGAAACTTTCCTTTTTGATAAAGCTTGTAGTTTGACCAGCTTGGGTTATCCTGATGTATTTCTGTACTTATGATGTTATAGACTTAGGCTGCTTGGGGATAAACTGTTGTCACTTTGTTCAAATAATGCAAAAACTTGCATTATTTGCTGTTTTTTTTTTTAACAGTTAAATTAGGTAGTTTTATCTGTTTTTTTTTTTTTCTTTATTGAAGCTGCACTTGGTCTAGCCTTCTGATTGGCTGTGATTCCTTCCTGGAGGAGGACATCGGCTGACATATCACCTGTCCTGCTTTGAACTTTTACTTTCAAGAACTTCAAAATAATCCTACATCAGTTCATCAGTTTCTTCTTGTTCATTCTGCTCTGTCTTCTCAAACCCCAAGTCAGTCTTGGCAGATGGCCGCTTGTACTGAGTCTGATTTTGGTTTCTCTAGAGGAGTTTTTCCCTCTCTCCTGTTGCTACATGCTCAGTATGAGGGACTGCTGTAAAGATAAAATGCAAACGATTGTCTCAACGTGTTCATCCAGGAGGAGTGAATGCTGTCAGGCAATGATTTGATCCTACCTGATGGGATTCTTTAGAAACTTTTTAATCTACTTTCAATAATTAATTGAATTAATTGTACTATTAGATAACTAGTGTCAATTGGAATGTATGTATGACTGAATTGAAATTATGTTTTTGTAAAATGTCTTAAGACCACATTTGTTGTGATTTGGTGTGATATAAATAAACTGAATTGAACTGAATATAATCTGACCCATTATAACCTTATGTCTTCTGAATGCACAATGAACAATGAATATACAAGAACTAGCTGTCTATACATTACATCAGAATTTAACACAGTAACAAACAGTTCCTTTACTGGTATCTAAAGAAATATTACTAATGCAGAAACACAAGAGAATAACTAAATGCATACCTGGATGTTGGCAAGACGGGATAAAACAATACTATGTTTATGATGTGGTGATTTAGCTTTAATGCTACAGTATATAGAAAAGTGACCTTTCTATACATAATGTATAAAGTTTGAAAACAGAACTAAAAATTATATGTATAAAAAAAGGCAAACAAGTTTATGTCTTACTGGTTCAATGCAGTCTTTGGAGAGAGGAGGTGAGGGAAAGGCAGCAAAGATCAACACACCCACATACATATATGTTCCACCAACGAGAAGATAAGCCAAGGACAGATCCCTTACCTGCATGGAAAAAAAACTGTAAAGGATCCATGTGGAATATTTGAGCCTGAACTCAATTTGAACCAAAACTAGGATCAGATGAAAAGCAGTTGACCTGGTGGGTGAACTACTGTTGTTTTCCACCTTGAACAGATTAGAACAGACCTTGGACAGTTTCTACACAGCTTGATCACTTTATGTAATTTATGGAGTTGATTCAAATAGATTGCAAAGATATAAAATGTTCTTCACTATTGGACCAATATATTTGAAATCCAAAAGGAAGATTCAAAACCTTTGCACTGTTCCACAGAAGTGTATTAAGATTAATGAAATACTGCCTGAACAACAGGCTCTAGCAGCAGTAAGGTCTATTTAAATGAGACCCACTAAACATTTGGAGCAAGACGGTCGTTCATATTTTTACAGGAATTGTCTCAGTGTAAAAGACAATATTACCAGATGTGGTAGTATCCTTACCTAACATTCTGTTATACTTTATTTATTTACATTTTATTATATATTTAATCAAATGAATTGTAATAAAATCAGTGGAGCCTGTCCTTGGCTAAAATATTTAACAAAACCAATTTCTTCACTACTTCTTTCATCTGCATTTGTTGAAATAGTTAGGCAAATAAAGAAAATAAAAACAGAAAATTAAGTCTAATCAATTTCAAGGTCATTCTCCAAATTCCTGATGAACCGATTGGTCCAGCCAGAACCACTGAAAAGCTTGTCCCACTAATTTTGTGAGCAACAGTAACTGAGAAGAGACTCACATTATTTTCTTGGTTTTTGTTGCTCTTCATCAATGTGATGATGCAGTTGTGAATGAAGAAGGCCAGGGTGAGCACACCAGTCAGCTGAGGAAAAAACAGCCTGAACTCTGAAAGAAGAGGAAAACCACAAGTCTCAGAGAAAATATAAGCATCACAATCAAGATCTTTATGTATGAGACAGATTTCACCAAAACAAAGGTCACTGTGTTGGTATGGTTATACATTTAGTGCTCTACCCAGTCTTACTAACCATTACATCTAAAGCATTTTCAAGACTTGTTATTACTTTTCAGTTAAAAAGAACAAAAGATCAAAGTGATATAACAGCCAGATAGACCTTCTAGATTTTTTTTTTATTATTTCTAAACGCAGTAGTATAAAATAAAAGCATCCTCTAATCTCCCCCACCCATGTTCACCTAAAAGATCCAAAAACATTTTCATTCAACATGGTTACGAGGTACATGGGGCATTTTTAATACAGTGTTGATAAAAGTGTGAGCATTTCTCAGGGTTGTGGCAGAGCAGGACAGAGAACAGGCAGATCTACCTGGAACGTAGAACTGGGACGGACCAAACCAGTGGAACTCTAGGTGGAAGCCAAGGCGGGAAGCTTTGATTGTGACCAGCACAATCAGATAGATGACTGATATAGTGCCTAGCAGAAACGGAAACATCCTTTGGAATTAGTGAAGAACAAGTAGATTAATTACACTGAATACAACTATTAATTACTATGTAAATATAGATAAGTGAAGAATAAACTGACAGTAAGCTAGTCGCTATTGATACAGCCATGAAGTCCATCAATGGGTCAGATGATGCAAATTAAGGTACCTGATGAAATCAACATCAACAGCTGTGACCACATTTGTCAAATCATAGTTTGCTTCACATCAATCTGCAAGGTGGAAGTACATTGGAAGTTTGTTGTTTAACAGAAACAGCTGGAAACATTTGGGAAGGCTCCCAACCTTCCCATGCTGAGGGAAATAGTCATTTTAAAACAACCGTCTCGCATCTTTTTCATGCCTTTTATCAAATTACAGCTCAATTGTTCTCAATGAACAACTTTTCCATGACACTGTTCAGTGGAAGGCTGACTACGCAGATGACACCATGCCTGTGGTATGCAGTTCCTTCTTCTGACTCATCCATCGAGACTCACAAGTTACTGAGGCTCTGTGCTGGTGTCTGCCTAAAACAGCAAGCAGTCACCACATAACCAGCAAATTGCACAACAGCCATATTGTCATATACAAGCCAACAGAGGTCTCAGACTGATGATACAACACAACATTTTATTCTGGACTTTAAGTCCTGCCTTTAAGCAGACTGTGTCTCACTTATTATCATAGGAGGAAGAGGGTGGCTTTGTCAACACTACAGAATAGAAGTCAGTGACAGGTCTGGTCACTGACTTCAGTCTGGTTTTACTCCAGACTGCAGTGGTTTTACAATTAAGGACCAAAGAATGTGTTGAACACTCCCCATGTGGTAAAAAAATCTTTCTAAAAGACTATGCAAGGTAGATGAAGAATAAACTATTCGCTCACTGAGTCCCACATTTTTGGAAAAATGCCAAAACTTCTTGACAGCATTCCAGCATCTTGGGCTCCACTTACCAAAGAAAGTGAACCTTGCAAAGAAAGAGGCAGAACGAAAGCAGAGCAGTGGCAGCAGCAGGATGATGAGGTAGAGAGGAATGGTGCTGGTTTTACTCCAGTAGTGATCAAAGCTGCTCCCAGATGAGTCATTCCCAGAAAAGCTGCCACACAGACTGTTCCTGTAGTCATTACTTCCAGGGTGAAGTTTAGGGTATGGGCAGATAACTGGCGAACACATCGACAAGACATCACCACACGCATAATTTAAAACAATTACATTATTAATAATACACAATTAGAAGGATTCAGATACCTACACTTTAATTTGGGTTTTACTTTTCACCTCACAGCACAACTTCACATATTTTACATTTAGTCAAGTCACCCACGCTGTTATAGCAGGGGTGGCCAGAGTTTTATTTGGGGGTCCATATTCATAAATATTCTCTCTTGAAGCTGGTACCTACAGAACAACTCAGACAAGAGATGCATAGTCCTACTCTCTACACGCTCTACCCACAGCCCCGGCACCATGGGCGGGCATTGTCCATCCACAGTCAGCTACCCCTGCCTTGGAATGGAAGCAGTTTATTTTATTTGACTGTGATTGTGTTTTTTTTTTTTTACCTCATCGAGACAAAGTTTCTATTATTCTCATCTTGATTTGATAGAATATGGACTCCCACACCGAAGCCGTGTCCTCTATCCCCCATACATTTTTCAGCTGTTACAAATGTTTAATCTGTTAATATGTTGTAAAGTGGTTTTCCAAGTCACCTTTATACATAGCATGAGCGTCAAGATGCTTGCGGTGGTTTTACAGATGGAGACATGCTGCTGTGTCAACTTGCACATAGTGTGTGTTAGAATCATGGAGCAAACCAGCAACAGGCAAAAAATTTAGTTGAATCACTCATTCAACTTGTTTTCCTAAACAAGTTGAATGAGTTGAGAATGTTGGATGTTGATGATGTTAGCAAAACCATGATGAGATAATACAACAAGATAATACATGCCACTACGTCACACTAAGCTTATTAACAAAACAAGCTAATAAATTTGTGTCCATGTTCAGAGGTGGGAAGTTCTCAACCAATCAACCAAATAAAATCAATCAATTACATTTTATTTGATTGATCAAGTTCTGGTTCAGTAATTTGAGTAACATTTTGAAAAAAAAAAAAAAGGTACTTAGAGTAGTTTTACTGCACTGTACTTTTTACTTTTACTTGGGTAATCTTATAAACTACTGCTACAACTGACTAGGTTGATTATGCATTTAAAGAAATAGACTTTAGAGATTGGAAACATTAGATTTTGGGATTTGTGTCATGTATGAGCTAACATTTATGCAAATTTGAGCATAATTACTTTGCATGTCATCGTTTACATCATTATTGATGTTCTTTTGTTTGTTTTTAAGTTTTTTTTTATCTGAGAGTGGTCAGACAGGAAAGCAGGTTGTGAAGAAGAGGGCAGGATGAGAATGAGTAAAAAGGTTTGACAGGTGAAATAAAAGGGGCCACAGACCCTGGCCTTTAAAATGGACGGCTGCGAATGATCCTCTTTACTCCAAAACACACAGAATTCCTTTTAGGCAAAAGATCTGAATTAACAACCTCATTCACACATCACCACAAAATACATAGAGAGGAGGGTAGGATGCGCTGCAGCAAACTTTTAGCACCAACACCACTGTTACACTGTTTATTCCATGTTGTTGGCCTGAGTGTGTAACCCTAACCAATACGTCCCTGAGCCAGAGCCTGCTTCAAATAGAACTGATTTAAGTCTGAAATGGGATTGGTGAATGTAATTCTGTAGAAGTGATCAGACATGTTTACCCAGGTCTATATGCTGGTCATTTAAGATGACACCACCAGATTCATTATACATCCAGATGTGTGAATTATTTATAAATATTTTGCTCTTAAGATGACAAAATCTGCTAAAAATTTTACATTTCATTGAGCACAATTATTTTATTATGATTTTGACGAGATAGTGAAGAATGGCCTTTTGTGATCAGCTAAACCTGTTAATAAATAGAACTTTAGGGTCTAAAACATTAACTCAAATCTGATGCAATGTAATGAAACTAGATTCCAGTCTGGTTGTAAAAAAATCTTTTGACCCAAAATTATTATTATTTTTTTAAGTTCTCAGATTCATCACTTGTGTCGGGTTTAGGAATCTCTTGTAAAGCACCATAAATGACATGTAATCAGAAGAAAGAGAAATAGAAATAGCAGAAATAGAGATAAACAATCAATTAAAATTGTTTTCTTTTCTTCTCTGCACTCATAGATATGAATGGTAATCAACTCTTTTTAAAACTAATTGAAAGTATATGTTTGTGGGTGTAGAAGAGTCTCTAAAACTACGCAGAAATGTTACAAGTAAAGGTTTCCTGATGCAGGTTCCTCACCTCTATCAGAGCCGTTGGTTCCATACTCTGAATCTGATGTGCTGACGTTGTGAGCATGGTCTATAGACATGTGAAGAAACAAGAAGAATTTTAAACACTCATTTATGAATTCACTTTCACAATGTACAATCATTTCTTATTATTTCAAAGGACTGCTGGACAGTTAACTAAATGCACATTTATACACGACCAGGGTGTTTGAGTTCAGTCAAACACCTAGACATCCCTAAAGAATTCATCTTTTAAAATGTTTTAATGAGGGAATGTGTGAACAGCTGCAACTTCTGAGTACAAACATGCCCAAGATAAAATTTTTATGCATTGATAAAAATGGTCGCATGACCTTAATGTGACTTGATAGCTGCATGATCAAAGCAACTACCTACTTATCGCTTCAAATACAATAAAGAGCCCTTAAAGACGTTTCTAGTGCCAGTTTAAATGAATAAGCCACTTCCAAAAGAATATATGAGCTGAACAATCAGAGCTAAGTCAGCATTTTAAATTTGCTGAAGCAAGTACTAAGGCAAAAATGGAAACTAGTGATATAAGGGGACATGACTTCACGAACAACCTTGTAAAGGAAAACTGCTGTCAGACTTTGGAATTACATGTTTATGAGCAGCAATGTTGCACTTTGGTAGATCATTTGAAAACTTGCACACAACAGCACATACCAGACTGAGATTCAAGACAGCAGAGTAAACATGGAACATTACGGTCATGTTTAAACTTACTGTAGATGAACTGCCCAGTGTTGTAGAGGAAGTTGGACATTAGTACCCAGTATACCACCATGGCTCCAACAAGAGACACCATGGAGAAGACCAAGCTGGACCACTGGCCAAGCTTTCCAAAGTAGAACCTGCAAACATCAGGGAATTCCCAGCTGGATGTGTCCACACCCCCTGAGCAGAACAGAACAGTATTTTAGAGAATATCAGTTAATTTTCCTATCCAGAGGAATATTCCCTTGTTGGTTATGACCCCTGACACATGCCTCATTGCTGGATATTAAAACACAAAGAATGTGCTGAGCTTACATACAAGGAACAAGTTAGCAAACAAGGAATTTTAAAATGAATTTGAAAACCAGCATGTCTGAACAGTCCCAACCTACAGAATGGTAGGTTGGGAAAATCTCAAAGTAGGACATAGTCACAAACAGGTGGCAGTACTATGTCCACAGTGGATGAAGAGTTTTCTGGAAAGACCTGCACTCATCTTCAATAAAGCTCATGGGAAATGTTAGAGATGGAAGGATGGTGATGCTCCATTGCTATTTACCTAGCAGATCTATAGAGATAAGGCTCTCAAGATTCCTCAACTGTTTTGTTATAATTAAATAGTACATAAACTCATCAACCTGAGAAATACTCTGTCAGAAAAAAAATGTGAGAATGTGACAGAAAGAATGTCTTGGACCAGATCACTCTTCACACTTTTGGTTGTTCTCACCATTAACTGCGCTCTTCAGACCAAACAGATTCTACATTTAGGTTTCCACAACATGAATTTATTAATATCAAGTGGAGTATTTTCTTTTATTTCCTCTATCCATCATCTGTCCTTCCATCACTATGTGACCCTTAGCATTTTGGACAAGGTTATGAGTGTCTGATGTGAACATCTGCTGCCTGACAGGGCAAAGTGTCAGTGGAATATTATTTCCATCTGGCACAGATAGAAATAATGACATCCTAGTTGGGCATAATATCTGTCCAACTGGTTAAATATTATGCTAGCATGAAAAACACAAGTCAACAGTATCTGCAATACATTAGCCAATTCCAAGCAGTCCTTTTGATATGAATGTTGCACATACTAATATTTCCATAATAATTTATTGGTTAGCCCTTCATATCAGTGATAACATAATGGCCCATGGTCTTATCACATCACATGTGGAAACTTGTAGAACCATAACCAGAACCCATGAAACTACCACACCACGACATAAAATGAAGGCATCAACAGATAACGGACCTCCCAATTTTACTCACCATCCATCGTTCTCAAAGAATGTCAAGACTGGACTTCAATCATGCTTCAAAACAACACTAAGGGATTTCTTTAAGCTCTTATAGTCTGCTGAATTCCAGCAATTTGATAAAGTCCTGAATGGTAATCTTGTTTTCCCAATGAAGGATGGCACAGACCAAGTTTGTTCAGATTCAAAAAATAAGAACATTTATCATGTACAATACAATATCATCCCTTACTTCATTAAACTAAAACAGGGAGAGGACTAAGCAGAAGAGATACTGCTGGACTTACTAATTGCCTTTGGTGATTTGATGACAATGTAACAGCAATACAGCATTAGCAGGCCAGTGAAGATGAGGATGATGATTCCCAGAGTGAAACCAGCCTGAAGAAATTAGGTGAATAAAATAAGTCTATTTAATTTTCAGGGGAAAAAAAATCGATGTCCAACAACTGTTGGATATGTTATATATATAATGTTAGTATAAAGACATAGCCTGAGGAAACAGTAAAAGCTAGACGACCTGCTTAATACCCCACGGTATGCTGAGTATGGATGTCCCCATCATGGTGTTCCATATGGCAAAGCTGCAAGGAAACACACAGAAGAGTATCAAAGCCCTAAAGATGATGGCTCCACGTTCAGTGACGCTGAATGAAGCAGTGAGGCCTTACATGGTGACAATGCTGGGGTTCTTAGCAGCCTGCTCACTGTCTGGAACCTTGAAAGCCATCCCGAGAGGGCTGTAGACGTACATCTCCTCTGGTGTGGGGATCACATGGTTTGGAGGACTCTGGAGGAGCAAAATAAACACCAACGCTTTCCAATCAATGACATCTTCAGAGAAATAAATGCAAACATTCACATGGCTTTAATTCACAGCTGGATGCAATGATGGCAAAATGAAATACATAAAATAACCATTTTACTATAATTTCTTCTCCAATTTTATTGGCATACATTAAGCAAGGAAATTAAATGTAAATTAAAATTATTCTTTGCGATAGCAACAAAGTGACTTGACCTACCAGCATTGTGTCAGAGGACCCTGTCAGTCTGCTGTAGTAATGCACTCTACTGTTCAGGATGGCAGCCTCAGCAGAGATCCTCTCCTGAGGGTCATCACTTACAATGTTCCTGGGCTCCACATAGAAAGGCCTGCAACACCACACAAACCACAGCATTGCCACATTTACTTTTAATTTAAATTCCCCAAAACAAGGTGAACTGATCAGAACCACATAGAGTCTATGCGTCAAGAGGAAAAGAAGACAAAGGAGGCCCAGCAAGACCACTGTTAAGGCAACCTGGACTTTCTAACAGCTCAGTTTCTTGCAGTCAGAACAGTGAACAGCGTCCAACTGATCACAGTACAGTATGCTGTACTACTGTTCTGCAAAAATTCCCTGAGTAAAAACAAAGACTATTTGTAAGCTGTGAAAGGGAGTGTTTGTAATCTTTAATGTGCTAGAAACTTGTTGGTCCTTGCGAAATACCTAACTGGATTAAAACTGACACAACCTGCTAACAGAGAGGGGAATTATGCCAACGTGGTGCCAAACTCACAAGTCCATCATAGAGTTAGCTTCCTCGAAAAGCTATATCAAATGTACAAGCGTGGACATAAGAGGAGAAGCGAACAATGTTTTTTCCACTTGAGTAAAAAACACATCCACTAAAAGCATTGCAAAACACAACTAGGTGGCTTTTATACTGAAAATCCTAAATGCCTCTGAATTTCCAGATTTTAACATTTAAAACTTTATTTCATTTCATTTTACACAAGACAGAAAAAAATTGTCAAAATAGAAAAGTAACTGAGCTTATGAACGATAGTGATATAAGACTAAAAGCCTTATATCACGTATGTCTACCAGATGACCATACAGGATATCTGACTAAGGGTCTGGCCAGGAGCCTTACACTCCTCTCTCTGGTGGAAAGACACATCTGAACAGTTTATGGTCTTAAATGTTCCAATTAGTGTCATTATAAATAATTGGACTAGAATATTAAAATGAATTATATAATTCAGAACGAAATTTGTTGTCCATTCTAAACTTTGCAGAGAACTTTTCTAAAAAACCAAAACCATCTGGAAAGCAAAACATTCCTCATCTCAGAATGGACCACTGTTTGCTTCAGTACATTCAGCCATTTTAACAAACTTGTGAAGTCGTTGGTATTTCACCACTAATTGCCAATTTTGAGATTCAGAGCTTCTGCAGCACACTATCTGTTTGTGATGTACAGAGGTTCTGGGGTCTTTATATACCGTTTAGTTCTGATGTCCAGTGACCCAGCTGAGCCTCTGTGGGACGGTCCCTCCAAGGTGGGATCTGGGCCCAGCAGAGGCCTGCAGTCATCCTCCATTGTCCCTAACAATCAGCCAGCCTTCAGCCTTCAACTCATCACCTGTCTGGAAGGACAGAGGAAGATTCATGTTAAGAACAACCAGTACTTAACAACAGAACGTCAAAGAAATTACATTATGAAGCATAACAATATGATATTATTGTTGAATATGGCACAAAAGTTATTGACAGCAATTTACCCAGAATTTTTTTTCCCATCATAGTAAAGTTCATTCAATTCTCTCTGAGTGATATGGGACAAAAATTTATGTGAAACTACAGATCTGATGCTCCTCTTACAACTGAATTTCCCCTCTGTGGGTGAACAAAGGATATTTCTATTCTGGTTTATTTTCAGGTTTATGCTGGGAAGAGAGAGCCTGCTGGCTGGCTTAAATTTATCTAATGTGACTTAGACAGGTTTAAACCAGAGATGTTTCCCAACCCATCCACTCATCAGCAGTGCTGTTGTTACCAAGCTAAACATCACAGAAACTTTGTCCATTACAGAGGAATGTCTGTGCTCACGCTGCTAGTTTTAGTGACATTTCATGTTGAAAACTACCAAAGAGGCCATGCTTGTAGGGTTGCACTGATTGCAGATTTCTGGCTGATTGCTGAGCTTTAAAAAGCTTCGGATTTTGATTTTGGCCCATAGTAATTTTATTTATTTTTTTGTCTGAATGTTGATAAATATAGCAAGAAAGTCACTGAGTTGGTAACAGTGGAGTGACTATTCATAACTGTAAACATGCAGACATGACCTGATGTGCCAGTCTTGTAGTCAAACCTCTCACATCAGAGTAAAAGAGGACAGTGGCTGATTTGTTGACCTTCACTGAGGCACATGAGATGGATGAATAAAGTCGGCTTCACATGTAAGCATCGACCGATCACCAGTCTCCCAAAAGGAGAAAATCTGGGCTGATTTATAGACTGACTGATTTATGGATGCATCTCAGGCACCTAATGCTTTTATTTCACTAGGGTAGAAACTACAGTACATCACAGCTTTTATGCTAAAACACAATTATTGTGCTATCTAAGTACTGAATAATTTTCTTTAAACATGGCTTGATCTGCATTGTAGCCCGATTTGATTAAGTGAGTTAGACTCTGCATCACTTCTGGGAAGGCTATTCAGGTTAAAAAAAATAAAAACATTTCAGTGACTACAACCACACTGAAACTCTTACTCAGATAGTTTAAAATCAGGAAGTCCAAAAAAAGAGGGAACTACAGAACACCCCATTCAAATTTTGAGATGTTTAGTCATCCAATTAGGCAACATCAGCATTTAACATTAAGATCTGAGGCTGTGACGATAATCTTTTGTGCATAATTAGATTTTTAACAATAAAATATGAAATAGAAAAGGCATTAAAGTAAAAATCCGAAGAGTCACAATCAGTGATTCCTAGTGGAAGCATTGTGAAAGGTTTCCATTTCTCTATAAATAATAATCTATTATACAGTGACTGTTATGAAACAGCATTTTCTCATTGTGAGATGAAGCAAGAACAGCAAAGATTAGGTCGTTTCTGTGTGTTGATATAATCAGAGCAGTTTAGAAACCCTCAGTGATCGCCCTGTCTGAGCTTGATTACTACTGTGTATTAAAAACTACTTTTAGATCTTTTTATTTAACTTACGTAACAAAATCCAACTGGTTTTAGATTTTGTTATCTAAAACCAATACCTTTATTTGAGATCTAAAATAATACTTAGAATAAACTATCTATTCTGGTTTAGAATAATTCACAAGGCTATTGATTACTTCAGCAAATATCCGCAATCTGCTTATCCGTGTGACCAGCTGGATGCGCGCGCTCCCAGCCAGCAGTGTCTCGAACCAGATGTTCTCTTATTATCACTTCAAGCCCCAAATTGCCCCCTTGCCGAACTGCAGAACCAGTTGGCAAGAACTGAGGTGGCCTGGACCTGCTTCTCATCGCTATTCCTCCCTGCGAATATTAGCACAGTTCCTGTCGTTGCGCTCTGAAGTGCCAACAACATTGGAATGTATGGGTAATACACACTGCAGCTCCCCGTGTTTTTACCTGACTTTGACACTACTGTAACAGCTAAAGCTTCCAATTAAAGTTTTACTGCTAGTGAAACGTCGAAGGAGCCGCGGCCTCCTGTCTCCGGTAGTGTGAACACAGCGAAATGTTCCGGAAAAAGCCAACCTTACAACGTTACTAACCTGTGAGCCAGCGTTGAGGAAATAAAGCCGCGTTAGCTCCACAGCTACACAACACTCCGAAAATGCTGAGCTCTTTTCCGCGTCACCCAATCAAATTCATTGTCAAGCACGTGCAATGACGTCACACTCAGGGCCGCTTAAGTAAATATTGCAGACACTCTATAGTCAAATATAAAGGCACAAATCTTGATATTTTTATTACGGAAGAAGAAAACCAAAGATCATATAAAAAAATTAAACCCCGTTGTTGCTTTAGTCCAGAAGAAATGTTATGTATGGATACAGAAAGATTTATCCATCTCTGGTCGTTTCTTTCATTCTAAAGCCGAGCGTCGTTCCAGTTTGGTACAGCTCCACACTAGAGGCTTCCAATGAGATCAGCTCCAAAGTACATAAAATATGCATTTTATTTTGGAGGAGTTGGGGGAGATATATATATATATATAGATATATATATATATATATATATATATAGATATATAGATATATAGATATATATAGATATATAGATATATATATAGATATATATAGATAGATAGATAGATAGATAGATAGATAGATAGATAGATAGATAGATAGATAGATAGATAGATAGATAGATAGATAGATAGATAGATAGATAGATAGATAGATAGATAGATAGATAGATAGATAGATAGATAGATAGATAGATAGATAGATAGATAGATAGATAGATAGATAGATAGATAGATAGATTCTTACTTAATTCAGTGAGATGAAGCTGAATTAATTGCAGCTTGAGTTCAGCAGTCTGAGAGCTGCAGTAAACACTGTGTCTCAGCCTGGTGGTCTTGGTTTGGATGCTCCTCAGCCTCCTGTCTGAGGGGAGGAGGTGAAACAATTTGCATACAGGATAAGTGGAGTCCTTCATGATGTGGAGCTCCGAGGTTCATGGTGGAGGGAAGACTGTTCCCACAGCCTGTGTGCAGCCTTGACCAGTCTCTGCAGATCCATCCTCTCAAAACAGCAATGCAGCTCCCATGCCACACAGTGATGCAAGTGCAGAGATCACTCTCCCCCACACAGTGATAGAAACTCGTCAGGACTGAGTTCCCAATCCAGCTCTCTGCAGCTTCCTGGGGAAGAATAGATGCTGGTGTCTTTGTTGATCAGACAGGAAGTGTTAGCACTCCAGCTGAAGTCACTAGATATATGCACACCCAGGTTCCTGTAGCTGGAGACCAACTCCACAACTGATGTTCCAATATATAGGGGAGGAAGAGGATCCTTGGCCCTTCTTAAATCCACCACCATCTGCTTGGTCTCCTTGATCTTCTTCCACATAGATGCCTTATCTGCCTGACCCATGATTTCATCAAACATCACTGGTTGTTAGAACCCAGGCATCCAGGTGCTGCTCTGGATGTCCCTTTGTCAACAGTAACGCAGCACCAGCAGGCCTTCTGGGAGCCGTTTTACAGGGTTGATTTGATGAACTTCAGTGCAACTCACTCCTATTCATGCTGCCAATATACATCAGATGATTTGCTGCACCACAGTGTTTCCAGTGAATACTTGTCTTAATCCAATGTGAAATTAAGTGCAACATTCATTTGAGCCACCATTTTATTTTTATCTTCCACACCAAATTACTTTTGTATCAGACAGTGATTCATGTGTCACATACCATGTTTTGCAGAGAATGTGTGTCTTATTGAATGCTATCTTAAGCACTGAGTACTGGGTTGAGTAGTTTACTGTAAGTTTAACAACAAGTCTATGAAAGGTTGTAAGCATTCATATATATTGCCATAATGTTTTTGAGGTTGGTGGTGTTACAAAGTGTGAAAAATCTTCTGTCTTTTTTTATCCAGATTAGATAAGCTCTCAGTTTTTGCCCTTGGGTAAATCTGAGCTGTTTTATGAGAACATATTTTCAGGGAGAGTTATCTATGTTATCCTTTTCGATCAAGAGGATAACACCACATGAAAACAGGAACTAGGGTTTATGAAGAGAAATGGTAACTAAAGTCTACAACACCACGCAATTCATGCTTACTTAAAGTAGATTAAAACTACAAAGTTTCAAAACAGTCAGGAATGTAGGGGCCTTGTCAAAAATCCACATGAATTCAAGTCACTATTCCAACATAGTATTTATAATCTGATGGGTCCAAACTAAAGATGATCATTTTTGTAACTCGGGTGGTTTATGCCTTGATTGGGTTAATAAAGTTTTCATGCATTTCCAAAGTGTAAAGTGCCATGATTTGATTTATATGGCCTGATGCTCACAATAAATAAAAAAATTGAGATGGAGGTCAGCAGTGGAAAAAAAAAAAAAAACCAAACAGAATAAGACAGATACAGCAAAACTGTACTTCCCGTACCATTTACAAAGCATGACTATTCTTATTTTGAAAAGATAATTCTAACTTACTGATTATGTCTTTGTGGAAGATAAAAAGTGCAGGTAAGATGTTCTCAGTTTCAATCAGGCGGTCGGAGTTTCTGTGTAAGCCATTTTCAAATATTATTTTCAGTTTAACTTATAGTTTAACTCATATTTTGGCTTAAAATGTCTGAAAAGTAATATTCCTCTTTCCATGTTTTTTATATTAAAATGGAGCTTGTTGTGGCACAGGGTTTAGCATGTTGGCTGATGGTCCTTGACACAGTCTCTAGGGATCGACTCACAACCACTGGACCTTCCTGAATGTCTCCCTCACTTCTCTCTGGCCATTTCCTGTTTGACAACTGTGAATAAAAATCACTATTGCTACAAAAGAATCCATCCGTTCATTCATCTGTGCTGACTGGTCTCTGCATTTCTTTAATGGCGTGATCAACTAGAAGTTCAGCTGGAAAAAACTGTAAGCTGTAGCCTATGATAGTTTATTTGACCTGAATGCAAATAAATTATAACCTGGTTTGATTTGGACTTACTTTAAATTATATATTCTCGGCTAATAAAAATACAACATCTTGCACTTTCCACCTCAAGTTTTACCTATAACACCATTTATGTAGAGTAATAGAATAGAGTATAAATAGGCTTTATTTTTCACCAATAGAGAAATTTAGTGGACTGGAAAGAAAATTTGCAGAACTTTAATATGAAGTAGTTAATTCAATTGGAACACTAATAACCATCAGAGAATGGCATTAAACTACTTATGTGAACACAGCGCACTATGAATTTATATGCAGTCATTCAAATGAAAATGTGTCCTAAAAATGCTAATTTCTCAGGATGAAATATCATTTGAGAACAACAAACTTAAAGCAGGTATTAAGCATAATTTCAGTGAAGCTGAGTTTGTGACGTAAGAAAATATTCTTACTCTGAGATGATTTGACTGACCATTCTAATGAGATATTAATGCAGCAAAGCAATAAAAATGATTTGATGAATCAAAATCTTCCTTTAAACACACAAATAAAATGAAAACTTTCTTCAACGTTGCATCTGGCACAGCTCACAGCAAAAATATGAAGTACACACAACAGATGCACACAGTAGTGTGGCACCAGTAGCGATAATGCTGGATACCGTTTAATTACTGAGAAACAGAAAGGGAGCACTGATTAGTACAACTAACAAATGTACACATTTTCTTCTTTCAAACAAGTTACATCAATAATCAACACAAAGGTTTCCAAGCTCAAACATGTTTTACTTTTTAAACACTGCGATGTTTGTAGTTCAGTAACTGTGCTACATAAAAATTGTGTTTTGATCACATGACCTGAAGAATGGAAAGTACAAAATGATGTCAGATTGTCTGTGGATCGTATTCATCTATAATTAGACCTGATGGACTTTGGCACTTCATAACTAGGTGGCCCAACAGTTTGAGAGCCTCTTGGTTTACAGTACTTACTGATGTTCAGCGACTCAGACTGGTTGAGCTAATCCTGGTTCTGGTTTTGCTAAGAACAGGGGAAGTTTGGAATGGCAGTTAGAGGCAAGCCTTACTGTAAGCAATCCTAGAAGTTAGTTATCCCTTACTATGGGTATAGGTGGTTCTAGATACAGGCCAACAGGGGCCAGTGACCTGGAGAATTGGTTCTAGCCCCTGTAATGATCTCTGTACTGACATACAATACCGGATCAGTGTCTTGCATTAATATTTGTTAGCGTATCATTATAAGAACGTATTGGTCCCTTGGACCAACTTTTTATTTGCCAGATCAGGGATCTGCAACCTACAGCTCCAGGGCCAAAAGTGTCTATTTGACTCACCAAAAGTATTAATCTATTAAATACTGCCCTGTTTTTTTATTTACTTTTTTCGCCCCACCATGGCTTCCCTGGTTAATTTAGTCTGGAATTGACACTGCTATATGTCTCAAAATACTATGCCATATGAATAAGATTGGAAATACCTGTCTTCAAAGGCTTTCAGTAAAGAGGCTCAGATAAACAAAAATCTGTACAACACAAACATTCTCTGCTTAGGTAAAATACCTGCCTACAGACTAAGAGGACTATGAACACATGTTGGAAGGAAAAGAAGCAGAGAAAACACTGAGAAGTCAGAAGTCCAACTGTAAGCCAGTGTTGAAGGGTTGTTGCACTTTAAGAGACTGTTGGATTTTTCCAGTCCTTGGAACATCTTTGGGAAGCAGCACTACTTGAGAACAGCAGAAGGACATGTTCTCTTTTTTTCCATCCTTTAATAGATCCTCTGTGCATGCATTTGGCTGGGGTCCACAGAAGCACCATTATTACATAGCACCATTTTTCATAGTTATCCTTTTGCACTGGTACCCAACCACTAGCATGCATACACTATAAAATCATGTTCTTAGATAACATTTCTAAATGTAGCATTGATTAAAATGTCACAAGGCAAGTAATGATTATTCATACAGTACTTTACATGTAAATTTGAACTGAATACAGTACACATTAAAGAAAGTGCTAGAGTACAACATTTCCTTGTTTCAGAAGCCTTAGTTTACAGAACTACAGAACACACCAGTGTCTTACATTTATCTAAATGTATACCTTTTCATCTTTTCTTTATTTTTCTTAGTTGCTTTTTTAAAGAAGGCCAAACATCAACATCTCTACATTTTCCAGTTTACAACCAAATGCATAATACAACAGGACAAGCAGAATGTCTTCTTCAGTACGCCTATGTTCACATCACTCTGCACAACCGCACATGAACACAAACACTTTGTCAAGTTAAAGTTTTCCTTTAAAAAAATCTGCATTTTCTTTCTAGATGTGACAAATGGCACATATATTGATTAGAGCTCCTTTTTTATTTTGCCTTTGGCTATTTTTAATGTTTCAGTCTGCTAAAAATAAAAAGTACAAAAATGAAAGTGAGCAGAGATATGTTGAAAAGGACCTTTAAGGCATCAAAACTAGAAAACACCAGATCAGCAGTTCAGGTTTCAGAATCCTGTAGCCATCCACGTCATGTCCACTGAAAACAAGAACCAGATGGTTACAGAGACATTTTTAATCTTTAGATAGATTGCAGAATTTGACTTCTGGTACTTGCACTGTTGTTATTTATTTAGAAAGCTTATAAGGGAAAGTGCCTTTGATTAAAATATGAATAATAAATGTGAATAATAAGACTTTATAAAAATATAAAATGTTGTCTTTTGTGTTTAGAGACTGATAAGTCAGCTGGATCACATACTTGAGTCTTAGCAGCTTTGACCAGAGTTGAACCTTTAGCTGTGATATCAGTGTCAGCCCTGTACATGCACATGGATTGCTTTAATAAACCTCTTTTAAATTTAGAATCTAAGTTTTTGTGTATGCTTCCCATTGTTAAATACCGACAGATCTAAAGACAGGCTGACCAAGACCTGCTCTGTTTGAGCAACAAATATTTCTAAAGAGTTAAAAATAGCATGTGGGTTTCTCTTTTAAGTGATTTGAAAAAAAAAATGTACAGTATCATATTGTCAAATTCACTCCGTCAGTCATTTAATTCAATAATTGCAGTTGCCTCCAAACATTCTTTTTATTGCATGGACTAGGATTGTGCTGTATACGCTGTAGAACAGAACACATTAATTCAGTCTAACATATCTTAATCAGCTGTATAAATTTCAGATTAAGTGCAATTTTCTTGTTTATAATCAAACAACAGTTCTGAACAAATTGTTCAGAACTGCAAACAATATCTTATTTTAAACTGATCAGCCATAACATTATGACCATTATAACATTGAGGGTTGTTTTTTTCCAATATAAAGGCATCTGATCTTTTTGGACTCAGTCTCAGGTATTTAGTGAATCTGTGGTAAATATTTAAAGTCGTATAAGCCAAAGCCATGGATGTTCAGGCTGTCTCCTCAACCATGTTCCATTTCTCCACAGAGACATTTTACTGCTGAAAGAAACCACTCAGATTATGAAACACTACTTCTTTTAAAGTGTGTAGTCAATCTACAACTAAAGTCCAGTTTACAAAATAACTGAAGTCAAGGATTAAACATTTTCTGGTTTGAGTTTTGAAAGGATCAAAGTGGCAAGGAGGGCTGCTGGCTTATGAGCTGCAAAATGATACAGTGATGAAAGTTTAAACCAGCTTCACAGGTTCAGGTTGTGATGGAACGGTCAGTGCCGTCACCCAATCAATGGACTCTGCAGTGTAACACCATATCTGTACTGTACCATTTTCCTATGGACCTACAACTGAAGACTGCCCAGGAACAGTGCTGTATGGGTCAGTTGTATGGGCCACTTTTACAATGGAAACAGACAAAATAGCATATTGAAACCCACCAATCCGCACCTTACCCTTCATTAGAAATAACACAGCATACCTCTTATTTATTGTAACCTTTGGTATGTGAGTTGTCTGAAACACATGATGTAAGGATGTCAACCACAGAGTTCTGCTTCAGTCCTGTGGTTCTGAGGCTGGCTTTATTTCTGAAAGCTTACATCAGCTCTAGATGTGCCTGCTGGTTTAACTAGCCCACCTTAATTGGTTCAACTGGTCCTTGTAAAACTAAGACTTTGCAGGTTGTGTGTGGGCTGAATTAATCTGCAGGTTGACACTTTCAGGCACAACCTTAATAAAGAATCAGGATATCATGGGGGTGTAGGGGGGTTTGTGTGCAGCTGATAGTCATTGTGATCAATGATTGTCAATTTATGCTAATATTAGAATTATCAGTGGTCCTTCTGCCAGAAATAATTTCAATAAAAGTGCAGATTTTCTTTGCAGTATTTTCAATAACACTCATTTTACCAAACTGATGACTGTCTTGCCTTTACAGGACGTTACTACTAATGTGATACCCTATTATTCTGAAGTTGGATTTTCAAAAGTCTCACTAGAACATTTGCAGAACAGCCATCGTTTGCTATCTACTATGGCTACACTCATATAGAATGTAGTGAAAGTTGCTAGATTACAGTTATCAAACCTTCATTTCCAGCTCCAAAACACAGCATAAATTGATTTACCGTATAAATACGGTAAAATTCTGTCAAACACAGCTGGTGGGATTTTAGAGATGTTTACTTTTTTACAGTGTACACTTCATATTCCTCAAATTAAATTTTAGCTTAGACAAGAATTATCTAAGGGAAAATTAATTTCTAATTTCTAAAATAGATTGTGCTTTGAATGATACAAAGTATGATATATCTCGTATGTTTCTCTATATAAAAAAGTAAAACAAGTTACTGAAAATAAATTGACAGTCTTCACCAGACCCTCCGAAAAGGGCAGCAAACATTAAATATTCTGCATTTATTCAGGTTCATCTAACAGCAAAGCTCAGTGTTTCTTTTCTCTCTCTGTTTTAACATCTTTCTTTATGTAATATAATGAGATCAAAACACTGCATAGAGCTACTTTAACAGTCAGCCAGGTTTTTAACACCAGTTGGCCCTCCATTTAATCAACATTGTTGGGTTTTATCAAAATTCCTAGCTGATACTGATTTAAAAAGGGGGATTGCAACATCCTGCCGAAGTTCTGTTTGCGTTGCTGCTTCCTTCAGAAATGTCTCTCTGTACTTTAAGTGCAACAACATCTTTTACAATTTACATGGTCCAATTTGGAAGGAAATACTGGAAAGCTCCAAAGTCCAAATGCTGACATTCTGAAAGAATTTCGCAATCCAAAATTTACCGAAAGAGCTACTCTCAGTGATGTAATGATGTGGCCCTAAGGAAGCTGTCTGACTACCAAGTAGGTTTTTTGCCATGTTTTTTTTTATAGAACCTGGTAAGACATGGCTCCAGCTAGAGCTCCGGAGCTGGATTAGCACTGAAAGCAGTGTGGTGAAAAACCTCAGAAGTGCTTCAATAACAAAACATGCATCAGATCAACACAGAACAAGTTGATCAAATGCACTAAATCAAAAAGAGCTTAATGTTATGACAAAACCAAATTCATTTTTACCATCTGCCAAACATCCTTCACCTCATTTTAAAAGCTAAGTGTTTATTAGATTCCTTGAATCTTTGAATTATAAGATGCTGGAAAATTAGAGAGCTCCAAAGATTTTTCCTTTACTTTAGATGTAAATAAAAGATTTCCCCACTCTACACTCTATACTATATCATGAAAATGTCCAGCAACCAAATACATTTACACAGGAAACCCAATGTGAACAGTGGGATACACAGTCCACTGCAGCATGAAGAGCATACACTCATTAGCCACATTATTAGATAGACCTGATTGAAAGCTTGAAACACAAGTAATGGATGAGCCAATCACATGGCAGTAACTCATAGCATTTAGATGCTATTAAAATTACTTGCTGAAGATCACCAGGATGGGGAAGAAAGAAGAGTGACATGCTGTTGATGACAGACTGGTCTGAGTCTTACCAACCAGTCTGCTGAGATTTTCCCCTATAACCATCTCTTCTGATTAAAGAAAATTGTCAGGGAACAAAAAGAAAATTCAGTGAGCAGCAATTGCTTATCTTTGTCTGGTAAGGAAGATAAGCAACAAAACCTCAAATGGCCACTCAGTAGGTGAGCCATCTTCCCCAAGGACACAACAACTTAGATAGATGGAGCAGGGATTTGAACAGGCAACAAACAGATTACAAGATGAACTCCTGGTACTATGTATATGAATATATATGTAATATGGTGACTGATGAGTATACATTTCTTTTGAGGTACAACAAATGTAAATTTGTGTCCTCAGCAGCAGGAGACTGACTGTATTCAGGTGGATGGACAATAAACAGCAATGTTTTTTTCTGTCTAATCCAGTGTTGGTCTCCTTTCCACTACTGCTACTTCAATTATCATATAAAGAAGCTGACTAATGTAAATTCACCTTGATTAAACCAGAATCAGAATAATTAGATAAAAATTAAACATGTCTGCAAACATGCTTGTTTGCAGTGTGTGGGCTGTTCAAGGCAGTAACCATCAGTCTGCATCGCCACTATACACACATCTTCCAACATGACAAGAACTTATTCATTCTGGGCATTCCTGTGTGTGTGAAGCATCAGATGGCATGTCGAACAATGACCTAAAAATGCTTGTAAAATCCAATAAGGAGACACTTTCAGGGTAAAATAATGCAAAGTTGTAATTAAAGGTGTCACTGCACCAGGTGGTGTGGAGTCTCTTATTGTAATTATTTGCAATCTGGACATTAGAAGTGGAAGTAGATTATTTAAAAAAATCTTTCCTCTATCATGCATCACTTTCATCTTTTAAATGAATGAACCGTGCCTAAAAATGCCTTCAGCAGAATTTTTTTTTTGTTTTCCAGGGCTGTTTTTACATTTGCTTCCAGTTGATCATGTTTGTGTGCCAAACAGAAGACATGTAGAAAAATCTAAAATTCACATCTTAGAAGACAATATGTAGCTGCTTGTGCTACGTCTTCCTTTTGCCATCTCTCATGACATTTTTATGTTTAAAGTTGTTTTTTGAATACACATTCAGCTAAGTAATTCCTTCGACAGTTTTATGTTTCATGGCAAAAAAATGTCTCAAATATCATGCATGGATTTAGTCTTGTCTAATGACACCCAAAGATGGATCAGACTAGCTTCACCCAAAGACTATACTGCGTTCCATCAACTAACTGCAAGAAATCTACTCAAGCCTCACAGTTATAGATTTGTTTTGCCTCCTTTGAGTCTTGTTGGTTCTTTCAGCAACAACTGCACTGATAGTTTGGCTCATTAAAAAGCACACTCTGGACTGCTCACAAGTTCAGTTCTCTTTCTGAAACTGACTAGTTTCAGAAAGAGAAACTAGTGGTGCAACTCTAAGCACCAATGGATTTTACGTGCAGCATCTGACATCCGGTCAGTGATTCTGCACTCAATAGACTGCTCTGCAGGTTTGCATCACTGCATAAGTTGCCTCTAACTGACCCAGAGCTTGCCAATGTGAAGATCTAACATCTACTGTGCAGTTTTGGTATCTTTTGATGGATGTTAAACTGCCAGTGCACATTACAGCAATGAACTGTGTCTACATACACACATTAATCCTTGTATGTTGGGATTTTTAATGATCTGGAGAACTCAACACACCCTGCAATTCTCCAGTGCACATGAGAAGACAAAGACCAGATCATGTCTTCACTGATAACAGTACGTAAGAATACCGGAACATAACCTGATATAAAGAGAAACACAAGGTCAAACCCAGAATTCTGTTGTCCATTTACACTTGAACAGTAAACTGAAGGACTAAACTCTACATCAGAAAACAAAACAAGTCACAACACCAGCATAACCATTTCACTGGCAGCATGCATTGGCACACCAATGTTTCTCTTGCCTAGTTGTTGTGATAATTATAAATATATTATTCCATTGGATCAACACCTACAGCTCACGACACCATACTTTTCCCCAGGTCAGTGAGGCTGTAAGCATTGACAGGTATTTATTGCACTTATGGGACTAACTCAGGCCCCAACCATCAGGATATCGCAAACAACCCAGCAAATTTCTCAGGCAACTACCTCAACTTTTGTTTTGACTCAAATATAGATATCCATCCTATGTTTATAAGGACCCTTTTGATTGTTGCAGTTTGCACTTCTCTGCACTTCTGCTTGCCACAAAAATACTAGGTAATATTTAGGGTGCCAACATTAACAATGGTCAACTCTAAAGCTCATCTATTACCAGCAATACCACATCACTGTAACGATTTTTTTATTAATAACCATCTGTACAGTGCATTCTTAAATTTAAAAGGCAAATGTGGGTTAAAGTCCACAGAGCCCCTAATCATTCCCAGGCTGCTCCTGGTTAAAGTGCATCAGCAGCAGTAGATGAATCAGGTGTTGCTATAAGGCGATGAATGGATCACTTCTTGGCAGGGTAGATGTTTACCAGCCCTTGGTAAATCAGCCTACTTGTGGAGACAGCACATGGCATGTGGAAGGTTGGGCCATGTGTGTGGAGGGTGCAGAGGTCAGTCCTCCTGCTCTATGCTGTCCTGTTGGTCTTCTGTCCTCTTCTCCTTGTGGCATGAGAAGATCCTCCGCATTTCCTCCTCATACCTGATGAAGTTTTCTCCGAACCGAGCCCAGGCTTTCAACGGAACCGTGATGGTGTTCCTGTACGGCTGGCGCACTTCACTTATTTTTAAGAAGACCCCGTAGCGGTTTGACCCCACATCGAAGTAAAAGCGTTTGTTGTCCACTCGGAAGGACGCTGCCTCCGGGAGCTCGGGGTTATCGAGGCGAGTCCTGGAGCCCAGTCGGCCATGCTCGTCCACCTCTTCCTCCCCGTAGTCCTCGATGAGCTGGGACAGGGCGTCTCTGAACTCGATGAGACCCTGTGCGGGCAGAACGATGGTCTGCTCGATGCCCTGGCCATAGTAGCCCATGGAGCCGTGGCCTTTGCTGACGGTCTGCCGTATGCGGAGGAACCTACCTCTCTGGTTCTCCTTGAGGTCCAGAAAGTACTTCCTGTTGTCTCTCTCAATGAACTCGCTCTTGAGAACTCGGTGGGCATGATCATCGGAGCCTACCGAGCCGGTGGGAGATGCATGCTGCTCCCGCGCTTTTCTGCGAGCATCCTGCCCGCGGCCCTGCCCGTTGCTGCCGTGTTCCTCTGCCAGCTGCGGGGTCTGGGCCAGGCTCCCCCGCAGTCCGATTCGGGCGTAATAATCGATGAAATCTCCCAGGCAGTATCGCAGAGCCGGAGCCATTGACATGGACAGGGTCAGCTTGCTCTTCCTGATGTTATCATGACGCCCTCTCCCGATCCACACCTCCGCTATCTTCAGGAAGCGACCGCGCACACTCTGCTTCACGTCCAGATAGAAGCGTTTCTTCTGGATATCAACGCGTTTTGAGGCCAGTTCCTGAATGTCATTTCCCTGCTGCGCTGCTCCAGCCTGGCTGTACTGCTGGGGATACGCGTGTCTGGACAGAGAATCGGACGGGATCTTACCCCTGCTTCTCTCCGTTCCCCTGCAGCACCCATCAGCCATCATCATCATCATTTATATTCCAGCAGCAGCAGCCTGCACAGGAAAAAGCGATTTCTCCATTCCCAACATACAGGCTGCAGCTGGCTGAAAGAGCACAGGTTCACCTGAAAATGGCTGCGTGTTTTAAAGCTATCAACTCATCCGGTCAGAGTCCAGAATGAACACCATGTATCCGGTCTCCGATGCGGTCTGGTTCCATGTTTCATCAGCGGTTTGTGCCGCAGCCTCTCGTTAACACAGGGAACCGGGAACAGCCGACCTGCGATACAGGAATGAACCCGATGAACTCGTTCACCCCCCGCCCCTCCCCGTCCTGAGAAGCCCTCTGTTAAAGAGACGCGACGTCAGCAGTGACTGAAGGCTGCATTCACTGCAGCTCTTCTCCACTGCGCGGATTTATGGCAGCGTAATGCAGGATCCACCGAGACTCCTGCCCTCCATTCAGACGAACATCATGTCCCTGTAGAGAACATGTGAAACAGGATGCTGGTTTTCCTCATCATCATCATCATCATCATCATCATCATCATCATCAACATTTCACAGTCCTCCTGATGGCAGAATTATTTCAATCATAAAGACATATATATAAAAATTGCCATGGTCAAAAGACATATTAGTTGACTGCAAATTGGTTTACTAGCTTGTAAGACTGACTTGCCGTTTCTTCTCCAATAGGTTAACATGATCAGCACTGAAAATGTAACTTTTATAAAACAAAATGTTTTTTTTTGTTTTACAAATTTGTTAAAACTGTCACTGTGTTATGATCGATGAGAAATGAGAGAGAAAATTAAAAAAACAAATAAAAATCAAGCTCCTCTTCTCGGTTCCAGTGCTAACTACAGAAATGACTTGATCTGAAACAGTAAATCAATAAGAGGGAGGAAGAGAGTCTGTCCATGACGCTTGTGTAAGAGCTGCTCACAGCCTCCTCTTGCTCTCTGCTACGGTACAGCTTCTCCCAGTCAGCATCTGCCAGGAATGAAGCTCAGACTGCTAAAGGGAGAACTTTATAATTTCTTGTGGCTGAGATTTTTGTTCACAACAGTTCAGAGCACCATTCACATTACAACACACAAGGCTCCAACCCACCATTTCTTCATCTGTTGCTTCCCTCCATTACACAAGATAAATGGATATTTTATTAATCCCAAAGGAAATTGTGTCTCAGACCATCACTCCCACTAATACAAACAGTAAGCACCAAAGACCCAACAGATAAAAGCATTGAGTATTAAGAAATAAATAGCAGTGTGAGCAGTGACAAACAAGTTCCCTAGACTCTCAGTGAAGCGACACACCGTAAGGAATTTTGGTGTTCACTAAACTTAACTGGTGAGTTCAGTGGGTGACTCTGATTGGACAAGATTGCTCTGATCTTGGAGATCGTCCCCTGCCGCACCACCTTCTCCACAGAGTACAGGCTCAGTCCCACCTCAGACCCTGCATTCTAAATGAGCTAATTCAGTAAACTTAGTGGTGCCCCACTCCCCAACACACACCAGCAGGACAGCACAATGGACACAATTAACTAGTGCAACATATACAACACCTTAGCAGACCCCAAAAAGATGCCTCCCTTCTCAGACAGTACATCCTGTTCTTGACCTCCTTCTTGACCTGGAGGGAGCAGATGACACAAGTCACCAAACCCTTTGGGTCAAGACTGTAGGACTGTGGCTAATTCTCATTCATCCTCTTCAACTTTATTTTTCTTTGTTGAACAGTTACAGTAAAGAAATTCTCTAATTGCTGACCCATTGTTGCCAATATACATTTTTATATATGGCAGAAACCTAAATATTAACCTAAATCCAAACTGTTCATTATAATCAGTTAGAAATTATACAGTTTTCATTGAAGGAAAAAAATCTTCCATTCTACTTTGAATAGCTTACAAGTCACTCTTATTCCTCCCCCTTAAAAAAAAAAGCTGAAAAAATACTTACCAAGAAAGGTGACTGCATTTTTGCAGACAATTTAGTGTCAGGCCAATTTGACACAAAACGTCTTAATTAAGAAAAAAGGTTAAATGTCTATCAAGAAGTCACTTGAGCTGTAATAACCAACAGACCACATGTAGCTCACATTTTTAATGCATCTCAAAGAAACTTTATTGTTAAACAGTATAGGTTAACTTTGAACAAGGATAACTTGGTTACATTCAAGTGCAGCATATATAACAAAGCTAAAAAAAAGACATAATGTAATAAATGATAATGCATAGCAATGCACATCCCATTGCTATAGAGCTGAATGCACAGAACAAGAAGAGGAAGGACAAACCCAAACTGAACTTCCATCCCATAGAGCCAAACTCTTCACCAGGTTCAGCTAAATGTAACCTCAACATGTCAATGTGTAAAGCATGTCTTAATCCATGATTGAACTGAGAAAAATGAAAGAACTAGATTGGAGCTAAACTGAATTGGAAATTAACTAAACTAGTTCATTGAAAGAATATGTTGTCAATTGTTGTTATATAGAGAAAGTGAACTGAAATGAACACAGGATGAACTATGTAGAGCCAGAATTGAGGTAAAAGAAAAAATAGTACAGTAATAGGTATAAAGCAGAAGTGGAGACATATGTCCACTCAGCACTTTTCTATAAGCAACAAACAGTTGGACCACAAATAGAATGTTTTAGAGCTCCAAAAAACAGTAGTTCTGTTTCTAATACAATATCAGAGTAACACATCTCCACTCTAACTGCAGTTGTGTGATAAACAAGCACCATCTTCTTTCTGTGATATATTTGTCAGTTTCATATCACCTAATATCATGTTTGTTTCCAGAAGCACACTCTGCCCTGTGGAGCCTCCATTTGAGTTCTGGTGCTATATACAGGCTGCAGACCACTTTCTCAGCAGTCTGTTCTCAAGAACAGGTTTCAGTTCCTCTGGAGATCAGCCTGTAGCTCAGAACAAGCTGACTGTAAAGAAAGTTTCTCTTCCATCTTCCTGTGGTCCTGCTATAGAATATGACTAATTATCTGCAAACATGCTGATGACAGTGTGTTTTGTCTAATAAGGGCTCACACATTTTGAAAGAAATGTTGAGACTACTTACTAAGGAGGCAGACCTGACAGTGAGCCTCCATCTTTCCACAGGTCACATGTTTGATATGTGGGACAGCCTTGCTGTGGTCAAACTAAACACAGTTAAATCAGTTTTCAGATTGAGTTAGTTAATTGCTACGCTACCAGACAACTTTAACTCTCAGCAGAAAATATTTGACAAAATCTTCCTCCATTAATGTTCAGAGAAGACAGATTCAGTCTGAATGTCTTGGCAGTTAGAACTCAAAGCTTGCAGGTCCATCAGTCTGGTGAGGAACAGCAAGGTATACTCTGACTTCCAAGCATTGCTGCAATAGGCCGTCATTCACATGACACTTTACAAAGAATTATACAGCTGCACATGTGAACATGCGTTGAAGTGGAAATGAGTGAGACAATTTTAAAATCATTGTGTCAAAGGCTTAAAATAAAATAAAGCGATACAATGAGACATGTTCTTACTGCGGTCTATAACCTCCCAACTGTGGCATGTAGCTGGACACTGCTGCTGACTCTGTGTCAGCAGACAGGCTGTCTGGCTTGGTGGTCAGCTCAGTGTCCTCTCTGAGGGGACAGAAGTCATGCTGCTCCACCCCCAGCAGCCTGAAGTCATCAGACTCCATGTTGTTCTGGTTCTCTGCACCAGTAAATAGTGACGGCCTGGGAGGAGGCTGGACCTGTCTGCATCCCTCCTGCAGCGACACGTCTGGGTGCTCCTCTGAGTCCAGCAGAGGCTGCGTGGACTCGGACCGTGAAAAGATGGAATGCTGCGAATGGGAGCTGGGTGTCTGGCCCTTGTAACCACTGGATGCCACAACAGAGGAGTACTGAACGGTGCTGGCAGTGGAGTCAGCGAGGTCAGGGCCCTCATCGCTGTCGGAAACGCTCTGTCGCGGCGAGGACATGCAAGAGGAGCCGCCAATCCCGCTGCTGTGCTCCTCAGACAGGTATTTGCCCTTCTTCAGAGACAGACTGGTCTTGTCCTCTTCAAAGCCAAGCTTTACCTCACACACCCCAATATCAAGCACAGACACACAGTTCTCCATTGGAGTCTCGTCCTGAAGAGGAACAAAAGGTCACTGTTACATCTCAGACCAAAAGAATTTCACCCCAATACAAAATTCAAGGCTTTGTCAGGCCTATATTAAATGTAAATACAAAAGTTCACTATGAATTTAAAACCTTATCCTGACACCAAGAGTCAGAGCTTTCATATGGAACCCACAGAAAAAGAGAGAGACAGGGGGGAAGTACTGCAGGTTTACCTTCAGAGGATAATCAGGGGACCAGTTCCCAATGGTGCTCTCTCCAGGGTTGGGAATCTGAGGCCAGAAGTTCTCCTTTAATCTGAAGGAAAGAGAACTCTGATATTACACAGCTATCAGTCAGAAACTAACAAGAAACACAAATCACGTCTCTAACACAAGACCTTAACGGAGTCTAAGCTGGCCTAACTACAGAGCAGAAACTGGAACAGCCAGCCTCACCTTCACTGAGCTTTTTTAGAGCAACTTTACAGCACGAATGCTCTTCATAAACTACGTATTGAGATGCTGACACACTATGAAGAACTATATCTTGTACAGAAAAGAAGGAGAGAGACAGGAAAGTTCCACCTACACATCCTTCTTCAGAAAGCACAGCAAGAGAGCCATGAGAACAAGGAACAGGAAGCCCAGGCTGACTCCCACCACGATGCCCTCAATCGTTCCTGGAGCTGACAGGAAGACAGCACAACAGATCAGCAACACTTCACATCGCCACCAAGTTTTCCTTAATTTATTAATCCTGACAAGTTATTAATACCAAATTGTTTTTTTTTTTTTTGTTGTTGTTCTGCATCAAAAAAATATATAAACATAGTTTAGATGAAAGACTCGACCACAGGATTCTGCTTCCTTTGGCCTTCCAAAAAGCAAAACTCTGGCTTGTGAACCAGTCCTAACCATAGCTGGTACACAGGGGATGGGTTGGACATGTCTGTCCTGATGGACTGGTGACCTGTCCATTTCTCAGAAAGTCAACACCACTTTTTATTTTCCATCATCAATCATTTCTTGCTCCTCCTTCAGTGCAGCTTAAAAGCAGAACTTTGTACAGACACACTCATCTCTTCCCAAGTGCTTTGCAGTTTATCTAGTTGCCTTCAACATCTTTCTTCCTTTGCTCACAGTCTGCTGCTATAATTTTATTAAGGCTTTGAATGAATATGTCCTGTTTGTTTAGCTGATGTGAAGCAGCTGCCTGCAGACAGACTCACCGTATCTCAATGTGGTGAATGAGTGAGGGATGCTGTTTTTTGAGCCTGCCACGGTTGAAGCGCTGATCCAGACTTCATACTTGGTGTTGCCCAGCAGGTTAGTCAGAGTGTAAGAGGTTTTGTTAACTGGAACAGGAATCGATTCTGAACAGAACCAAACAAGTTAGGCT